TTTTTGTACAAAGAAGTGACAGAATAAGATGTTTACTTAATTTTTTTTAGGGCCCTTACTTTGATGAAGGCTCGACTGAAAGGAGCTCAGAAGGGACACAGTCTTCTGAAAAAGAAATCCGACGCTTTGACGATGCGTTTTAGGAAAATTCTCAAAATGATCATAGAGGTAAATATCAAAAGCGATGATTAAGGTGTTTGAGAATGCTGTTTAAAACAAAATTCTTGAGGTACTTTTGACGCTTCCCTGTTTCCATCGTAGACCAAAACTATGATGGGTGATGTAATGCGAGAGGCTACTTTTTCCTTGGCCGAGGCAAATTTTGCTGCTGGGGATTTCAGGTAATAATTTCTAACGTGCCTGAATTTTATAGTTCTCAACTGAGCAGGCTCAGGACTTATTTCGTAATAAATTAAGTTTTTTTAGTCAACCGTACGTCGCACCGCCTCGATCAGATCATGTGATTCCGTTGCAATTTCTCTTTAATCGGCGATAACCAGTAACTCCCAGATAGCTATAGGTTTAACAGTTAGCTTCTCCTTTCATAAGCAATCCTTTGTAAAGCAAACCAGTGATGATCATAAGAATCAAATGATTCATTCGCTACTTAGGTACATGTAATATTATCTTGACATCATTAATTTATTATGTAATTAATTCGGTAAGATCTTCGTACTACCCTATACTTCGATGATTAGCCATTATACAGTACTTGAATAAAAGGAACAATGGTAAAACAGATTAGATTACCTGTGGGGTTTTGGTTTTTTTTTTTCTTTTTCTTTTTTTTTTTTCAATACTATGGGTGATATGGAAATGTGTTATTTCTTTCTTTCATTTGTAACAACATTTTTGATAAAGGCATGCTCTGATTGGCTACTCAAACTGAATATCCTTCATTAACCTCCAAGCACTTTGCAGGGAATTTGTGCCCAAAAACATGATAATTGTTGCAGTAATGGATAAGTTGAAATGACCTTTTTTTTTTTAATATCATCTTTACTGTTTTAGTAATAACAACCATTCACCTCATTGTTCGTGACCAGCAGTAGATATTTACTGAGCTGCTTCGCAGCACCGTAAATATCCATCTCTGGCCTGTTTCCCTTTAGTGAATAGTTTTTAAATATCATGCTTGTATGGTATCACAGCTGACTTTTATAAACACAGAATGTCTTTTGATTAATGATGCTTTTTCTTTGAAAGGATGAAACTTATTTTGCACTCTATTGAAATCTTTACGTTTTGTAATCCATGTTTTAAGATGTCATCATACCATTTCAGTTATGTTGTTTTGGAGAATGTTGACAAGGCTCAAACCAAGATTCGCCTCAGGAAAGACAATGTGGCAGGTAGAGTTTTCCATCACAATCAGTTTTTTTTTTTAATAGCTACTGGAGTTTGAAAAAGTCATATGTGACCTTGCCTATGTGGGAGGCACAGTGGCCTCATGGTTAGGGCACTTGACTCCGGATCAAGTGGTCCAGGTGCAAACCCTGGCCGGGTACATTGTGTTCTTTGGCAAGACATTTCACTCTCACAGTGCCTCTCTTCACCCAGGTTTTTGAATGGGTACCAGCCAATTTAATGCTGGGGGGTAACCCTGCGATGGATTGGCATCTTAGTGGGGGAGTAGAAATACTCCTAGTCGCTTCATGCTACGGAAACCAGAGTTAAGCATTGGCCTGATGGGCCACTGGGCTCGTAAACAGACTTTACCTTTTTAACCTTGCCTAAACGTTAAGGCTTATCTGCTGTGGTTCTTATTTTTCTTTTGTTTTAACCTAATCTGAGGCAGGGAAAATGAAAATTAAATAGGTTTGGAGAATTTTTTAGCTTCAATGAAAACAGAAATGACCATTGATTGAATGACTCATTGATTGAAATTCACATAAGCATGCCAAAACATGTCTCTCTAAAAAGTTGTCTATTTCTTACAAAAGAAATTTTATTGTTTAAAATGACTTTGGTTTGAAATCATTCTAAACTTATGTAGTAAGTGTGATTTAATTTTCCTTTGTTCCAGGTTAATTATGAACAGTTCTTAAAAGTAAAAGAAAAAATGGCCGGATTCAAATTTGATAAATAACCTTGGAGATGTACACTGGTCATGTCCTAACCATTTGTAACTTTCATTGTTAATGTAACTTTATTTTTTGTCTTCAATTTTAGGGGTCCAGTTACCAATCTTTGAAACCTATGCAGATGGAGCCAATAGTAAGTTGATCTTTGCAGAAATTCACACTGTACAATTCTTCAGTCATCTCTGTACGCCCTTTTTGTTGGTGATGTCTTTTGCAATGTGGAATATGACATAGCTGTCAATGAGAACTGTGACTCGCAGATAAGAATTTTGGTCAGGTGCCTTTCTACAGTTAAATCCCAATTATCAAGATTTTTCTTTGATGTAGACTTATTTCTCTGGTTCCATTTCTTTATGATTTTTGTTAGCTTTAATTAATTTTTGTGTATACTTTTGGCAAATTTTATCAGTTTATGCGGAACGACGTAAGAATGTGCCATTCTTAATTCATGCACAATATTTATAAATGCTATACTAAAATAATCTTCTAATACTATAATCATTATATAGATTTAGTGATTTACCTTAACAGAAACCTTTGATGGTTGTGATGTATTTAATATTTGATGCATTATTATAATTTCTTTTTTTAATTACTTGGACTCTCAATTGTCCTAATTTTTCAGTGCAGTCAGTTTATCCAGGTTCAACTGTATCAGTAATTACATTTATTACACGACTTGGGCAGTCAGAGGGCCAATAACTAAACTCAACCAATCAAAATGCTCTATTGCCAGTCAATATTCTCTCAGTATTGGACCGGGCACTGTCCCGAATGGTTCCCAATGATACTGCACTTGTGTCCCTTTGAACTTCAGTTGTATAATAAATCTCTTATTAACCAAGCTTGCTCGGAACCGTACTGGAAGAATATCGGCCCTCGGTCTTTTTTGTACGGACCGAGCGCAGCTCGGTCCGTACTGTCAAGACCTCGGGCCCATATTCTCCCAGTACGGCCCTTGTGCTTGGTTAATGAGATATATGTAAAAACCTTATTAACAGACTTACTGTATCAGCAGACCATACTGTAACAAATGATGTCCATGCTGGTTGTTTCTAAATTAGATGCACAGGTTTTAAGCTAATGCGGTATTTTAAGTGTAGTGTCAATTCAATTTGAGTTATGGTGATGGATATTTTTGTATCTCTCATCGCAGGTTATGAGTTGACAGGCTTATCTCGTGGTGGTCAACAAGTTTCCAAATGCCAGGAAGTCTATGCAAAGGCTGTAAAACTGCTTGTTGAGCTGGCTTCTCTACAGGTTAGTAGCTACCCTTAAGAATATTCTCAATGAAACTAATATGATTTCATGTCTCTTTTTCGGTAATTCCCCTCGCTTCTAATTTAGCAGGATATTAATATGATATGTATTTGTGCACGATCCTTGTGGTAAAGAGCACTATTTAAGCAATAGTGAAAATCAGACCTGAAAAAATTCAGGCCTATACGGGATTCAAACCACTGACCTATAAACGAAGTTCAGACATATGAATTTCATATATTCGTTGTGTTTGATTCATCATCTTACGGGTTTATGTCGAATTAATTTGATGACCTGTTCCCAGTTGGCTTGTTGGCTTGTTGGCTCATGGTAGAACACTGCACTAGTATCGCAGAGGTCAGTGGTTTGAATCCCCTTCAGGCTCTTTGCTGCAGGGATCTTGCACAAATATGTTTCTAGAACCGCAGTTCAGATATGTGAATTTCATATATTCGTTGTGTTGGAATAATATAATGATAATAGGATAATAAATGATGAAGGATGATTTTATTTATGGAAGTCACTATTTTTTCCTGATTTTTCTTTACCAGTTGTCCAGAAGTATCTCCCAGAATTTGACATTCTTTTAAAAAGTTGATGGCAGATTGTTGCAGCTTTTAGGAAAAATGTACAACTCATATAACTGATGGTCCATTTGTAAAAGTGGTATTACATTTGGGCAAACTACCATTCCTTCAAAGAAAGTGTTTTGTGTCCTGTTTGGTGCAAAAAATAAAGTGCAACATCCCTAAAGTAAACCCAAACAAAAGTGAGATAATAAGTAAATTGTATCAGATGTTCAATATAACCTAACATCTCTTTTTTTTCAGACTGCCTTCATTACTCTAGACGAAGCAATCAAAGTCACAAATAGAAGAGTGAATGCCATTGAATATGGTGAGAATTTCATTTTTATCACCATTTCCTCTTTTTTCTTAAACCACTTTGACTGATAATTTGTTTGTCTTGTAAAAGTTGTAACTTAATATCAATTTTTTTCAGTTATTATTCCCAAAATTGAAGCGACAATAACCTACATTGTTGGAGAATTGGATGAAAGAGAAAGAGAAGAATTCTACAGGTTTGTACCTGCAAATTATGTCTCTCACCTAAGTAACAAAGATAATGAAAGCCTTTGTATCTATGTGCAATTGAATTAGTTAGGTACTAGAAAATTTTGAGGAGCATTTTGCCAAGACTGAGAAATTTTTCTTTAGATTGTAGATCCTTACTTTGAATTTGTCTTGAGCGGTTGATACAAATGTAGTATTTTCCATTTCAGCTTAACAGTTTGTTAAATTATCTGAAATCAAAAGTGTAATTTAAATTTACTGTAGTTAATTAGAAGATCAGCTACCAGTAGTTCAAAATGTACATATTATGTGTTAAGCTGTAGCTTTGTTTATCAGTGAAATGTCCCACATGTAATGTTGTGTTATAAAATAGTGGTCATGTTTGTACTTTGTTCAGGCTTAAGAAAATTCAGGAAAAGAAGAAGATCAATAAACAAAAGGCAGAAGAACTAAAGAAAGCTAGAGGAATAACTCATGGTGAGAAAAGTTATGACAATTCATAAAACACATCACACAAGTACCTTTTGGTGCTACAGGCAAGATGTATGCACAAAATTTACACAACAACAGTACAAACTAACATTATCAACAGATCAAAACTGACCAAACATGATCAACTTATTTTGAGTCTTACTGCTGGTAACATCACAACGAAACTGATCAATTAGTTTTACACAAACCAGAGTTTAACATTGGACTGACAACCACTCTTTACTTGACTCTTTCCTTGCCTGTGCTAAGGTTGTCGAAATCTCAGTCACTGCTGTCAAGAAGAATCCTTCTTACAAATTATCTTACCTGAGGGATAACACCACACAATCAAAGGATGGTCGTCTGTGGCTGAAGAATTGTATACCAGAAAAATCCATGACACCTTCTCTGCTACCCAGAGTACATACTCCTAGTCCTTTAAGAGGGAGGACTATCTCACAATCTGACTTTTGAAAGGAAAAAATGAGGGAACCTCTCTTGAATGTGTGAACTACATTTCAGCCATAACAGTGTCAAATGAGCTCTTTTTTCTTGTTCCGTCAGATCAAACATCAAATCTACTCGACGATGCAGAGGATGAGGACCTTCTTTTTAATTAGTGTCTATGAAGTGATTCACAATGCCTAGGAACCTGAATTTTATTGCAGCTGTGATGAATTACAATTTCATTGTTGCAAGATAATTGTAAGTTGTACTTAATTGTACATTGGACAGCTGTGTGGAAGGGAAATTATCCTTCACTTTTATGATTGATGAATTTTCAAAGAAATAACTGCATGTAATATAATTTTGACAAGCTTGTGTGGGTGTGATGACAAATTTATAGCTTTGAGCAAAAATTTAGGAAACTCTGTTATGTGTACCTTTCCATCAATTTTACCTTTCCTTTCCATTAATTTCAACCTTTAAAAGTTAATGATGTGCAAGGAAGTGACAGTCTTGTTGAAATTAACAGTCAAGTCAAATGTATAAAGAATAACTGTACAGTAATGTGCCCATCAATTTGAAGCTTCAACATCTCCTTCCAATACCAATACCTGGGCCATTGACCATTGTCTGTGCCCAGGGAATTTGAACCAGAAGTGTCAGGTTTTTTCAGCAGAATACATGAGTTCTCAATATCTTGAAATATGGATGTGTTTAAGGTAAATAGTTCACTTTGTACAGGCAATCACATGACTTTGAGTGCAATTTGGAATAAATAAGCACAAGAAAATTTTTTCAAAGACTAACAAAATTGCATGAGCCTGTAGGGCGAGTGCAATTTGTGGTCTTTGAAAAAATTTACAAGTGCTTATTTATTCCAAATTGCACGAGAAAATCATGTGATTATCTATTAATAATGTACATGAAATAATACGAGGTTGCTTCTCATAACTACACAGAAGAAAAGCGCACGCATCACGTGCAAAAATAATTTATTCAAACCTTGCAAGTGACATTGACCTTGACCTTGACATTGACCAGTCAGAATGTCTGGTTTGTTTCTTTCTTTGCACTGAATTAACCATCTTCTGCACCGAATTAACTGAAAACTGCATTAATCTTAACCAATCAGAACTGAGAAATTTTTTCATGTATATTATTAGGTGAGAAAAATAATAGCCAAGAAAAAAGGGTCCACGGGGTCTAGGTTTGGTCTTTGGTGAGCTTGGTCAGTGTGTGGAAAGTCATGGTCCCTGATTTTTCCTTTTACAAACAATTTGGGTGGGGCATTTGGGCACAGTTTTTTTTTTTTTTTTCGCTAAATTG